TTTTTCGATACAAAAATTTGAATTAGTTTACCAAAATAATTATGTTGCACTATTCCAGTGTTCTTTGTTACAAATTTTAACAAAATGAAATAAATTACATCCCTTTTGGACAAAGTTTCAAACTTCAAATCATATTATGGTTATCGACTTATTTGGATGATTAAACAAAAAGTTAGAGAAGGGATTTAAAGTTCAGTCAAAGTTGCAATTGCATTATGTTTTCTCTTATATATTGCATACCTATATAATCTAAATTTGGACTGATCATAGGGTAAGATTATATAAAAAAAATAAAAAAATAATAATATATATATATATAAATAATAATAATAATAATAATAATAATAAAAAAAGGAATAAAAAATTTAGACTATACCAGATCAACAAAACTTAAAAGAAACACTTATTTCATTTCTTAATATTTTACACACTTACACTTTTACTTTACCACTATTCATCTATGTTACTTTTATTGTCTTTTATTTATTTTATGATTGTACTCCCTAGCCCCTGTTTTTGTTTTTTTTTTAGGTGCATCATTTTAGCTTTTGCACTACTTATTAAAGACCCTGTTCACGTCACCTTAAAAATAATATTTAGTAACAAATTTTTCACTTTAGTAAAAATAATTTTAGTTCAACAAAAATAATTTTAGTTCAGTAAAAATAAGTTCAGTCCAGTAAAAATGATTTCAGTTTAGTAAAAATCAGTAACTTTAAAGAAGAAATATAATAGAGAATTAGTAAAAATAATTTAGTTCAGCAAAACTAATTTCAGTTCAATAAAACTAAATTCAATTCAGTAAAAATAATTTAAGTTCAGCAAAAATAATTTCAGTTCAGCAAAAATAATTTAATTTCAGTAAAAATAAGGTGAAGTAAACGGGCAGCCTAAGGTCCTGTTCACTTCACCATAAAAAAAAACTTCAATAAAAAATTATTTCAGGTAAAAATTAGTAACTGTAAAAAAAATTATAATAGAGAATCAGTTTAAATAATTTCAGTTTAGTAAAAATAATTTCAGTTCAGAAATTTTAATTTCAGTCCTATAAAATAAATTTCAGGTAGGAAAAAATAAGGTGAAGTGAACATGGTCTAAGTATTATTAATAGTATATAAATGTGAATAAGTACTCCCTCTGGGATTTTTTTTTTAAAATGCATCACTTGAGTTTTCACACTGGCCAAAGGTACAACTTTGACTATCAATATCTTTAATTAGATATTAGTAAAAATTATAACAAGATTATATATTATGAAAAGTAGACATTGTACCAAATCCAACAATATATAACATGACCATATTATTATAAATTATATAGTAGTAAAAATATTAAGTCAAAAGTAACATATGAATAGTGCAAAATCTCAAGTGATGCATTAAAAAAAATTAAAAAAATAATAATAAAAAAAACAGAGGGAGTATTATTAGGCAATGTTCTTTTGAGCTTCTGGGCAAAGCAGAGCAGATTTCAGTAGAGCATAGTAGGTATCAGCAGAGCAGAACAGATTTCAGCAGAGTAATATTAGTTATTATTATTATTATTATTATTATTATTATCAATAAATAATTAATAATTAATTATAATTATTAATTGTTTAAAAATTATTTATTAATTTATTATTAATTTTATTATTATTATTATTACTTAGTAGAGCAGATTTCAACAGAGCATAATACCGCTAAAGAACAGGGCCTTAATAGTATATAAACGTGAATTTAATTATGTAAGATGCTATTGGATTAGTACGTACAATGCACTTTTTTTTATAGTAACGTACAATGCACGTTTTAATAAATCAACTTTTTATGTTTTTTTTAAAATAATGAACTATGTAATATATTAATGGTCACATTTGTGCATTCGCATGCGTGTTGATCAAAGTGATACACTTAAAAAAACAAATGGAATATTTAAGAAAAAATATGCTCATGTGAGATCTCTTCATATTTTTCTTGATTTATACATTCATGATACCGATATATATTATTTTTTTAATATTACCTATTGACAATAAAATAAGTAAGCAATTGAAAGAATGTATTAATTGACAAGTGTAAAATGAAGAGTGTTGGTTACACAAGTTATTAGAAAAATGTACTCCCTTCGTTTTGTAACATGTTTTGAAAACGGCTTTTTCGTCAAAAACAAAAAGCTAGTCTTACTAGCTTTTTGGTTTTGGCTTTTGGCTTTTCATTAAACAAATTACTTCTTTATCTTTAATTAATAATTAATAATTAATAATTAATAATTAATAATAAGTAATTAGTAGTTAATAATTAATAGTTAATAATTAACTATTAACAATTAATAATTAATATTATATATTTAATAGTTAATAATTAACAATTAACAATTAATAATTAATAGTTAATTATTAACTATTAATTATTAACTACTAATTACTTAATATTAATTATTAATTATTAATAATTAATGATTAATAATTATTAGTAGTTAGTGATTATTACTTAATAATAATTTGTTAGTACTTAGGGTATGTTTTGTTCACCTTATTTTCACTTATTTTAGGTCTAATAAGTTCAAATAAGTTTAGTGAAAAAAAGTTCAGTTAAGTTAAGATAAGTCTATTTCAGGAAAAATAAGTTGTGATAAGAGTTACTTAAGTTCAAATTACAACTAAAATAAGTTTTAATAAGTTCAGATCAGTGAAAATCAAGTGAATAGAATGCACCCTTAATAATTAGGGGTTAGTAATTAATTAGCAATTAGTAATTAGTAATATATAATTAATAATCAGTAATTAATAGTTAGTATTTAGTACTTAATAATTGGTAGTTAGTAATTTGTAATAGTAATTAGTAATAATAATTGAATAAGAACACAGAATAATGTTCTTTAAGGTCATTTTGCATAGTTACTGTCAACAGCCAACAACTAACAACTAATTTTAACAAACATATTTACATACAACAAATGGTCAAACAACCACTACAAACAGTCAATACTAATAGTCAGTCAAACAAGCCAAGTTAAACAGTCAGCAGCTAAAAGCCAATAACCAATAACCAATTGCCAAATAACATCAGTATTATATTAAAATACCTCGTTTCAGGATTTGATCTCGATATAAAAATTGTAGCTCTGCACAGTCAACAAGTATGCCCGGTGAACTTTCAAAATTGACAATGGCTACCTTGTTAATTTTGATAAACCTCAATGGCACCCAATGAAATTCATTTTTGTTTTTGTTTTGAAAGGAAGAATAATTTCAGTAGAATATCTATTATACTGTTTGGTCAAATACTACTGGCACTACTGTTAACCTCCCTCTCTGTCTGGCAATCTGACACGTTCATCTGCTATACCAGAAAACTCCTTATTATATAATTTTAAAACAATTAAAAAGACTGCAGAAAAGTAGTTTTGGCATGGCAGCATTAAATTCCAAAATGGATAAAAGATAACTCTATTACTAAACCGAGTAAAAGTCCTTGTCACATCCTCTTAAATGCTTTGCTGTCTCCCAAAAGCTAACCCCCCTCCCTAACTTTCTTTTTTGCCTCAAATCATCTTTTTCATTTTTCATTTGACAATATTTCATGTTTGAGTGTTAACATCACTAACCAACGGCTACAATATTAGTATATGAATACTGATATTATTATTATTATTATTATTATTATTATTATTATTATTATTATTATTATTATTATTATTAGTATTAGTATTAGTGAAATTGGATGACCGTTTTAGGCCAAAGTAGGGGTTAGAAAAATAATATTGTTAATATAGAAGTAAAATACGGTATATTGTACATATCAGTGTATGAACACTGACTTCTATTCAGACTCGATCAATTTATTTTTGAATAACTTATTATAATTGGGTAAAAAAACATTGTAGCAAAGTATTAATTTGACTTTTATTTTTCAATGTATATTAGTTGAAAGGGAAAAAGTAATTAGTGAGGGATGCACATGGTTGTTTGTTGTTAATTCACTTGCTAGTATATTATGTTATCTCATGATGCAAATCAAACTATATAGTATTGCACTATTGCCTGGTTTGATGAATGTGCCGATCTAACAACCTCAGTAAGAAATTGTTTTTAGCATAGTGTTATTATTTTTTTTGGAATTGAGCGTGGATTAAGTTTAGCTGGATAATGTCGAGGTTGTACTCCGTAGTAACAAACTTGACCACTAGCTTCTTTCTCATTGTGTTTATGAATCCAAAATAGCAAAATTAGCTTATGATCATATCATTACTGGAAATAAAATACTTAAGGTTGAAATTAAAGTTGAAAGGATTATTATTCAAGTATAAAATAATAGGCATGTTGTTTTTCCGGCATACTCGTTGTTAGTTTGACGGGATTGTCTTTTATTTTGGCCATTTTAATGAATGAGTGAAGCGTGTCAAGTTTGATCAAATAAACACGTCATTTATCTCAATTAATTTATCAAGTCATGGATCTTTGAGCCAAATTCGATTATTTTGTGATAAATTATGTGTTATGCAGATTTTGAAAGCCTACTTAATTGTTATATTTATAATTTATATCAACATTACAAAGTCAATAGTCTCTTTACTTCTTTAGGGTGAGGGAGTATGTTGTTTTCCATTCCATTAATCTCAAGAACGTGGATAACATCCACAAGGTAAGGTATGGTTGTCTGTCCTAATTAGCTATGCTTGTCTATTTGTGACAGCTTACAATTTCAAAACGATTTCCTCTCCTATCTGCAATATTTTTGGGGGAAAGTGTCAAAAAAAAAATATATACTCCCTCAATCTTTAAAGTTGTTAATATCTCTAATTATATTTCAATTTTTATGTATTATTTCATTTAATTGTCTCCTATAATGATTTAAGAATATTAAATTTTCATAATTATGATTAGTATGCATTTAGAGATATCAATATACTGAACGATATGTACATTGACAAACTTACGTGCTCGTAAAATTACTATAATTTACGAAAATGGAGTATTAGAGTAATGTCAAGACATGTGAATGATATAAGCACACAAGTTTTGCCAAACTCAACTTTTATAAAGTAAGCACAAAAGTTTTGATAATTTTAAACCTAAATTTAGGTGGAAAACTTTAATGACATAATAAGAGCCAAAAAAATCTCTAATTTCATCTAGACTCATTGAAATTTCACACAAAAAATTTCATCATCACACATTTATCCATCCTACTAGTATATTTATACAAACTAAAAAATTAAAAAATTTTAATATTAACAGGAAGAAATTTTCCACTCTCCCAAACAGAAAATAAAATGTTTACAAAAGTAATTTTTATATTTTTCAAATTTTTTTATAAATTCTTAGTAATTATCAATATATGTATATCCTACCCCATAATAATCTGAAATGTCAGCCGTTGATTCATACAAGTACCCACACAAACGCATGTCCTCCGTCCAACCAGGCGAGTAAGCCCACTCTTCAACCGAGTCAACCAACACTAACTCAGCCTTCGACTCGGCCGAGTCATCACCCACATTTTCCAGACTCGGCAACTCGACAATCTGACTCAGTTCCTCTTCAGGCCCATTAGGCCTAATAGGCCCATTAACTTCCGAAGAAGACGAAGACACCGCAGGCGACGGCGCGTGCGACTCCATCGCCGTCGCAGCGGCTAAAGCAGCAGCAGCTTGAACATCACGCGGTGAATTCGACGCAGGTCGAGGGAGTGAGTTAGCTAGTTCAGGGAAGTTGAGAATTGCGGATTTACCTTTGATGCAAAGTGCTGCAACGTCGTGAGCACGCGCCGCCATTTCTGGTGTGTTGAATGTACCAAGCCATATTCGAGATTTTTTTCTGGGTTCTCGAATTTCGGATACCCATTTGCCCCAAGCTCGTTTTCTCACTCCTCTGTAAACTGGGTCGTTGTTGTTTTCTCTCTTTCGTTTGTTGTTGATTTGGGGTGAGGATTGAGTTAACCCAGAAAGGGATTGAGAAGATGAAGTTGAAGGTGTAGCAGTAGTTGTAGTTGTAGTAGTAGTGTCGTTCTGGGAAGTCTCTGCTTCTCTTCCATGGCGTTCCGCCATTGATATGAGCTAAAAGGAGTTCAGTAAGGTTGATTAGCTGATGCCTGAGTTGCACGGAAGGTGTTTGATGAAATGTCTGAATGAAGGAGAGAATTATAGAGAAGGGGGTGAAGTAGCCGTAGTATATAAAGCAGGGGAAGCCGTTAGAGTGTGATAAGGAGAGGGAGAGTGAGATGTAAAATATGAATATATGAATAATGATAATAGCAGCTAAATTAAGTGGACATATATAATAAGGTGTATTATATAGACAGGGGTTGGGGTTAAAAAATAAAACGCGCTACTTCTGTCAAATTGTCAAGTACGACCCATGAAGAAAACTCTCCCAATGGCTTGAGGCCTTGTGGGTTAGGGCGAGGGTATAGACTGGATAATTTTAACTCGATCTGAATTACTCGTATTTTTTTCATGTTGGAGATTAGATGTGTCAAATAGTCTTTAAGTTAGGTTTATCTTTAATTTGATTTATGCTAAATTATTGTGTTTATACCTGTCTAATTTTAGATCAGATATGGGTCACTTTCAAGTTATATAGGATCTACTCGAGTTGGGTCAATCTTTGACGCGCCTCTATTTGAAATTTAATTAGTTCAAACTTGCCCTAAATAACGAGTGATCTAATTAAAATTGAGGGCTTGTTTGGTTGAATGTAGGAATTGCAAAAACCTCAAAATTTGATTTCTTATGAAATTGAATTTCTTAAGAAATTCTAAAAAGTGTTTGGTTAACCAAGGGAAGTGAAAATTCCCATGAGAAGTTCCACTTATCTAAGTCTCCTAGGTAATTTAGTTTCTCCATTTTGTGGGAAATAGGAATTTCTACTTCTCATGAATTCGTCAACCAAACACTATGCAAGAATTTCAAATCCAAGGAATTCCAACTTTCCATATTTTATTTTGTCAACCAAACAACACTAGAGTTAACTCGAAAAGGAATATGATTTAGTTGATTAAGTTTTAATTAGAAGAAGTAAATGCATTGAAAATATTTTGAACGTGATTTGAACCCTAAGGTATTACCTGATGCAAATTGTTCCCGTAATGTGTCGAAGGACTCGTTTGCCACCTCCGAGCAAAGTAGGTTGTGAAGCGAAAATGAGGGGCAAAATGGTTATTTCACACATGAGTAATATATGTGTTGCAAAGTTGTTTCACGAGGGCAATTAGTTTATTGACGTATCATCAATTCAAGCAATAAACTAAGTAAGAGGTGTAAGTGTAATTAATAAGTCTCAACAACTTTTTTTCCTTTGTCTGTAAAAAATATCATACTATGACGTATTCTTTGGAATTAGCTAACAGAGTAAAATTAACTATAAAAAAGAGTTTTGTTAGTAATAATAGGCTTAAAAAATTAGATTAGGGAGGAATTACAATTAGGAAAAAGACAGCATACAACAAAGGACTAATTTGTTTCACTTGTAATAAAACTAAATCAGTTTTTTTTTTTTTTTTTTTTTTAATATAATATAAGCATTTAATATAATTTGTTTCACTTCTAGTAAAATTAAAAAGACAGCATACAACAAAGAAAAGTAATATAAGCATTTACCAAAATATGTAAAAGTGTATCAATTTTTTCACGTTAATTCGACAATTATGAAAATTACAACCGTATACAATTATAACCCTACTAGTAGTTAATTAGGTCTATTATGTCAACTCAATAAATTAACAGAGTCTGGAATTCTCGATCCAAACCCGCTTATTTACATCGTGTTCGTATCGAATAATCACTGAGTATCATTCTAGCCCTAGTTAAACCCTTGGAGAAGGTCATACATGGTACAGTTGGGTCAAATGTGATGGAAACTCACTAGATTTGAATCATTGCATCAATTCTTCTTTACATTTTGCCTATGATTTTATCAAAGACTAGCCTGCCTAATTGCTACTACGGCCACGTACGTCTCCATCGATAAGTCCGTTAGGCCCCCTTACATATATTCATTTTGTCCGTTACTTTTTCACTCATTAAACACTGATTTTTTTTTACCACTTTTTTCTAACTTTAAAATTTTATACTCCTAAGTAATTTCTAAGTACTATTAATTCTTTGTCCTTTTGATTCTTCTTCTTCTTACGTCTTTTCTATTGTTTTCTTGCTTAATTTCTTCAAGATTTTTGGCCCTTTTTCCAATTCTCCCGTTAGAAGGTTTGGACTATTTCTATTATACATAAGGTTGGTATACATAGTTGAATTTTTTTGTCATCGTTAGGCACCAACAATGTTGTATTTTATTTATTTTTGTAGAATTTTATGTATGTTTTATCTGTCATAGCATTAAAATATCTTATTAAGATTAATGAGTGGATGTGGCTCAAAACTTGAAGTGTATAATCTGTCTTAATTATTTTGTACAAATTCAATTTTATAGACTACTAATAATTTGGTAAGGAGCACCAATGTAATAAGAGACGTATATTAGGCAATAGATTATGTAAAAGAGAAATTGCTTTTCTTATTCAAGTATTCAACAATCTAATTTAGTCTAATAGTTGTATTATGGGTATTGCTATTCCAATGTTCTTAAAATACTTGACTTCTCCGTAATTAATGGAAGTAAGGTAGGAATTTGATAGCAACATAGACAAAGTGTTTCGAATCTTCGGTTTTCTAACTTCCAAGTCCCATAAGATATCAACGAAGTTTTTCTAATTGATGAACTTCAAAAGATCATATCTTTTTAACTTCAAAAAAGAAGATTTTTTACTAAAGAGGTTGACATCGATTGACCAACATGTAATATTCTTCTTCATATACCTAAGTTTTTAGAAAACATAATATGCTAATATATGTGTATCATATGTCCTAACATAACTGAATACTTAGTACAAAACTCGTTCAACTATAAACCCAACACTCTACCAAGCTAAGCTTGGTCTAATGGAAAAGATTGTATCTTTAAACCTTAAGGTTGGGGTTGAATCCTCGCTCGAGACATTCTGATTGAGTAAAAGTATGAGCACAATCAAAGAGTCAAAATGACATAATTTCAATAAGCTTGACTTTAAATTAAATTTATATTATTATGTGTTGATAAAAAGATTTAACTTTACAACATACAGAGAAGGTTGCCAAAAATATAGTGGGAGTCCCTTTCCTTCTTTAATGGGGGAAATGGAGAATCCCTTTTTTCCTTCATATATTTTTCTTCCCTTTTGGGTCACATGATTTGTGCCAAGAGCTTAGTTGTACTAAGCAGCCTTGAGATCGATTAACTCAATAACCATTAAACTAATGAGATTTATTTATATACATTAATGGTAAAACATGATCAAAATAAGTATAAGAATAATGTACACCTACCTGGTGGAAGTCTAGTGTATCCCCCGAGCAAAAGACTAAAAGGCCGAACCATGACTGCTCATCGAAGGTTAGAAAGTGACCTTAGTACGACTTCGCACCAGTAGCCCAGTGAGTCGTATCAGGTCTAAAGGGTCTTCCGGTAATCTCTTGCACAAATCCCAGCTGTCGCATAACCCGGTTGAGCACATATATATCAATCTATAACATAATATCAATAATATAATAGTAAAACAGACACTAGGAATGACACGTGTCATTTCCTAGTGTTGTTTTTTTCCTCAAAATTTTTTAATTATTTTTTTCACTTTCTAAAAAAACTATTCATTTTTGTATATAATTGTAATTCATTTCCTAAAAAAATGTATTCACATATATTCCACATCCTTTATTGTATAAAATATTATTCTATATCTTTTTTTTTTGCTCTACCTGGTTCACCTTTGGGATAATTCGAATTCGGGACTTAGTTCTTGATATAAATTAATATTCAAGCTTTTTTAAGTTTCATTTTAAAATATAAGAATTATTTTTTTGTAGATTTTGAATTAACATTATAATTCGTTATAAAATTTTGTAAAAACCGTGCGTGGCATTCCCCCCTGAAACGCTTGAAATTTTAGAATGTGTCTGAGGGATTTAAAATTCCAGACTTTCCTCCTGCGATTACGAAATAAAAAAATAAAAAAAGAGGAAAATTCAGTGCACTCACCGACTCCGTATGCTTTGGCGGCCTCTCCAGTAGCGTCGTCGTTTCCTCAAACTCGTCCATTCATCGCTTGTGCTAATCATCGAAGAGTAAAAACAATTTTTGTACTCCCTCCGTCCCATAATACTTGACACAGTTTCTATTTTCGTTCGTCCCACAATATTTGACACATTACTATAAATGGAATGAGACCACTAATAAAAAAAACATTTTCCTACATTTTCTCTCTCTTCAACTACCCCACTTGTAATTTTCTTAAAATACGTGTCCATCCCAGCGTTCCAATTATTATAGGATCGAGGGAGTAAAAAATTAGGACGTGAAGTGGTGGATGGTGCGTGGTGTTGGAGGAGGTGAAAGTGAAATAGCCCGCTACAGGTACATTTTTAACGGGGAATATTTTTAAAGTCGTGTTAAAATACGCTACAAGCGTTACACAAAATTAATAAATTACTGTACAAGTTTTATTTATGTCAATTTTGACAAGTATGGATGGATGAGTTAAATTTCTAAAAATTTATTAAATTGAAGTATGGATGGATTCCAACTACGTGTAGGTTTAGACCTAGTCCACCAATTACCTAATTTACCATCTTTATATAAAGTATTAAATAAAAAAGAAAAAAAAAAGTATAACCATAATAGGAAAAGTTCAAGTACATGAGTTGAGTTTAGAGATACAGAGGAGAGAGAAACTGTTCTTGTTTCTCTGTTTGATTCGTACGAACAAACTCAATCTAACTCAACACCTCGATCTTCTGGATAATTAGTGAATTTTATTTTTTTTTCTTCTTTTTCTTTGCTCACTGACTTCCTCTCGATCTGTTTTATATTTAATTTTCATTGATTCAAATATGCTTATTTTTATATCTATTTCTATGGTTTATTGTAGATTTTATTTTTTATTTAAATGATGGTCACTTTTAGATCGATCTATCGATGTTTTTTACAATCTTGTGTTAATCCTTAGTTTAATTTATTAAGGTGGATTGATGACAATCGGCCTTTTGTCTTTTGACAAATTATAAACTTGGGGCAACGATTGTTTTTAAACAAAATTTGTTTGTTTAAAGTAGAAAATTTGGAATAATTTGTATCAAAAATCTGTATTAATTCATATAACTTGTTTGCTTGCTGTGATCTAGTCCATCGATTAAGAAAATGTATGTGGTTGATAATGCAAGTTAATTGGAGCATTGAACTGCAGCAAAGTCTTGTAAT